TTGCAGTAGGTTGCTAGGCGACCTCCGATGCCCTCGCGAGCTGAGTGCAAGACTTAGGATGAGGGGCGTGGGGGCACTAACCAGGCGAGGGTCAGGAAGCGGACGTGGGGTCATGCATCCTGCAACCTCCTGCAATCTCCTGCAATCTCCTGCAATCTCCTGCAATCTCCTGCAATCTCCTGCAATCTCGCCTCGCGAGCTCGTAGGCGGCGAGGGTGTCGTCGCCATCCGACTGCGCCACGCACGGGCCCTCCGCCTATTCACAGCAGGAGGTGTGAAGAGACGCTGCTTCACACCACCGCGCCACGCAAGGGCCCTCCGCCTCCGACGCGTCGAGCAGGCCGCAGTCGCCAGTCCCGGCGGAGAGGCCGAGCCTATTAGTTCCTCAGTTCATTGAGTCGTGAATTAGCCGGCACGCCGCAGTCGCCAGGCCCGGAGGGAGAGCCCGGCGAGCTGGGAGGGGGTGGATTGGGGGGGGGGGGAGGGAGGGGGGGATGGCGGCGTGGAGCAACTGCGCGAGGTGGGCGTGGCTTGGAAGAAGTGGGGGTGGAGTAGGTGAGGGAGGAGGTGGTGAAAGGGGGGAAGGAGGCCCGGAGGGAGAGAGAGAGAGAGAGAGAGAGAGAGAGAGAGAGGGAGAGAGAGAGAGAGAGAGAGAGAGAGAGAGAGAGAGGGAGAGAGAGAGAGAGAGAGAGAGAGAGAGAGAGAGAGAGAGAGAGAGAGAGAGAGAGAGAGAGAGAGAGAGAGGGTTAGCCCCCGAGCCTCGCGCGGATCGCGTCGTACGGCGACGGGACGAAGGCCGGCACCACGGCGCCGGAGCCGCCACCGCCGACGACGGGCGCTCGCGCGGTCTTGCCGAAGAGCGCCACCCGGAGGGGCGTCGTGCGGTCGAGGGGCAGCACGCCGTTGTTCTTGAGCAGCACGACCGAGCGCGCCGCCAAGCTGCGCGCGAGGGCGGTGTGGGCCTACGCGCTGAACACGCCAGCCTCGGGGCGGGAAGACACAGTGAAATCAGCGGAGTGCGGGTGGATACGGCTGCATGCGCGTCCTCTGGCGCGCGGGTGCTGGTTGGAGTACACGAGTGCGTGTTCCGCTTCTAGGCGTGTGGGCGGGCGTGGAGACATTGTTGCGCTGCGTGTTCGTGTTGTTAATGTCGAAGGCGCCGACGCCGAAGAGGGGCGTCAGGATGCGCAAGGCGGCGTCGTCGATCCGAGAGGCGTCGACCTCGCCGCTGGCGAGCGCCGCCTCGATGGCGGCGGCGTTCATGAAGTCCGCCCCCGGCATCTCCTGGTCGAGGCCTACGGCAGAGATGGGGAGAGATGGGGAGAGATGGGGAGAGATGGGGAGAGATGGGGAGAGATGGGGAGAGATGGGGAGAGATGGGGAGAGATGGGGAGAGATGGGGAGAGATGGGAAGAGATGGGGAGAGATGGGGAGAGATGGGGAGAGATGCTTGTCGGCATCTCACGGTACAGGCCCTGCGCGAGCGACATGGAGTGCGTGGCGCCCCAATCGGACATGACCCAGCCGCGGAAGCCGAGCCGCTCCTTGAGGTCCCGCTGCAGCGTCTCCGGGTTCTCGCACGACCTAAAAAAAGAAAACTTAGACCCCCTTCAGAGACACTTCCAAGACAGAGACACGTCTCCGGGTTCTGGCACGACCAGCGCGTGCGGATCTTGTTGTACGAGCACATGGCGGAGCCGACGCCTGCAGCTGAAGTGTCTCTGAAGTGTCTTGGAAGTGTCTCTGAAGTGTCTTGTCGTACGAGCACACGGCGGAGCCGACGCCTGCAGCTGAAGTGTCTCTGAAGTGTCTTGGAAGTGTCTCTGAAGTGTCTTGTCGTACGAGCACATGGCGGAGCCGACGCCTGCAGCTGAAGTGTCTCTGAAGTGTCTTGGAAGTGTCTCTGAAGTGTCGTACGAGCACACGGCGGAGCCGACGCCTGCAGCGATCGCGCCTTCGAACGGCGGGTAGTACAGCTCGAACTGCGTGCGCTCGTCGACCTCCTCGTCCACCGACGTGCGGTCCGTCTCCTGTTCACAGCTGGAGGTGTGAAGAGACGCTGTTCACACCTCGAGGTCGGCCGACGTGCGGTCCTCCGTCTCCTGGTTGTTGTTTGCCCAGTGCTTTGCGTTGGCCACCACGCCGGCGCCTGCATTGTTCATGGTTCAGTACTTCAAGCCACCACGCCGGCGAGCATGATGGCACACGGCGACATCATCCGGAGGCGCCAGACCACAACGGGAGGGGTCAGAGCCAAAGGCACAGCACCGCGGCAGGCGAGGGCGTGTCGAAATGGCGTTGTGCGCGTGTGGCCCTCATGTGCCTCTCTCTCGCGCGCACCCTCCTCCCTTGTCTCTCTCTCTCGCACCCTCCTCCCTTGTCTCTCTCGCGCACCCTCCTCCCTTGTCTCTCTCTCGCACCCTCCTCCCTTGTCTCTCTCTCGCACCCTCCTCCCTTGTCTCTCTCTCGCACCCTGGATCCCGCGCACGGCCGGCTGCACCATCTCGTAGCCGAGGTGCGGGTCCTCGCCGGAGATGTACTCGAAGTTGCGCCCGTTGCGCGGGACGCGCGCGAGGCACACGCCCGGGCCGAGCTGCACGTTGGCGCCCTTCCGGAAGAACTCGTCGCCCATCGCCGCGCCCCACGCTTCGGCGGCAGAGCGGTCAAACGTGGCGCCGATCGCGAGGCTGCACGGCCATGCGGTGGACGAGCCCGGGTGCGCGTTGTCGCGGAAGCCCTGCGGCCCGTCGTTCATCTTGATGGCAGGCACGCCGAGCCGGCCGATGCCGCACACGTTGCCGACGTAGCCGCCGCAGGAGCCGTGCGTGAGCTGTATCTTCTCTGCGAGCGTCATGTGCTGCACGAGCGTCGCAGCGCGCTGCGCGGGCGTGTCGGCGGTCGACATCCACGGCCTGTCGCCGCCAGAGAAGGCGAAGGCGGCGGACGCGATCATGCTGTGGCCAGAGCCGTCCGGCTTTCAAAAAAAGAATTCGCCGTTGTGTTTCAGAAAAAAATGGAAGGCGAATTCAGATTTGGCCGGTGTGAAGCGGTCTAGCCGGCGCGTATCGAGGCGGCAACAGCGTTGGCGCGGCGAGGCCATTTTCATAGCAGGTCATAGCCGGCGCAGTCCAGTCCGAGCCTGGCTGTTCTTCACCTTCCTACATACATACATACCAGCGCGTAGATCGAGCGGCACTAGGAGCGGGCCCCGTCCATGTCGAGTTGCTATCTGGTACAAACATCGCCCTTCCTGCCGCTGCACACATTGCATCCAGCTTGGCGAGGAAGACCGATTGTATTCTGGCGCACGTACCAGCATTTTCTGGACGCTGCTCTCGTGCGCTTCCTGAAGCAGAAGCACGCAATCACCGCTGGCGTGGATGTGCCCTACAAGCCTTGCCGAAATGCAGCAGCACGTGCGAGATGAATGCAATCGGCTTGGCTTTCCAATCGTGGCCGATCCCGCCATTCTGCGCCGCATTCAGGACTTAGTTGGCCGCCGATATTTCGAACAGCAGGGCCTCTCATTGTTCAGATACGTTCCGTGACGTATGTTTCCGCGTGCACTTCTGCCGGCGAGGCGTGCCACTGGCCGCGGCCGCGCGCGCGGGTCATGCTTAGAGATTTGAGTCATGCCCCCCCCCCCCCCCCCTTTCAGTACGTTCTTTTCTGAGTTACGGCGGGGGCCGCCCATAGGGCTCGTCTTCGTGAAGAGTCTCGCATTGGCTCTACGGCTTTTTTATTAGTACGAGCAACCTTTCCTAGGGGGTCTCGATGGATAGGTAGGTAGGGCGGGGTTTGTGGTGCCACAGACCTCCACAGGGTAGGAAGGTAGTGCGTGTTTATAGTTGATCTGTTATCTCTAGTTACGTAATATAATACATAATATCCCGGTGAGGCGGTCACTTGTTCCCGGCGGCGGCGGACCAGCCATTTCCCATTTAGAGCCGTACCCGTAGGTTAGGTAGGGAAAATCGAGACAAGGGTTCGGGTTCCTTGCAGCTAGGGATCTTGTGCCGGGGTCATTTTCTCCTTCTATTTGTTTGTTTCAAAGTCTCTCCCTGAGTCACTAAGACATGGGTCATGACTCATGTGTGGCTGATCACGTGTGAGGGTGTGAGCGTCGCCGTCGCCGCGCCGGACCATCTACATCTACTGTCAATCAATGTCGGCTCGGCAACGGCGTCAGAGTACTGCCGCTGAGAGAGTCCACCTCCACAAGGCCCCAAGGGGCGCGCCAAGTACGTGCGCTTGTGACGACAAGAGGGGGGCACGAGCGGCGGAGTGCCTGAAGGAATTCTGGTTGTGTCATCGCCCTGAGCGCCGGTGTGTGCCTTCACCGTGTGGGCCCCAGCGAGGTAGCTAGCTCATGGGCGTAATATTGAGCCTAGCGGTAGAGTTCGGCCTCTCGCCAAGCTCGGAAGAAGTCCCGCGTCCCTTCTTTGGGCAAAGAAATCGTGGACGGCCGGCTTCTGCGCAGCCGAGAGGCCTTCCGGCGTTGGTGAGTGGGGTGGGTCGATTCCTCTCGGATCCATGCCGGAGCGAGGCGTTGTGGTGGTATGGAGGATCACTGAATGGCGCGTTCGGGTTATACAGCAGAACAACCAAGCAGGTGGCGATGACGAGGCCAAGCAGTAGGCGACGCGTGGCACCACCCGACGTCGTTGCCGTCTCCATAGATCGACTGGCCGGCCACGCGATGGCAATCGTCGGCGTCGGCCGGCTTGTGAGTGTTATCCGTGCTCGAGCGAGCGAGCGACGCAGACTGTCCCGCACGACGGGCTAGCAGCGTGTAAGGCCGAAAAGCACAGAAAAAGAATTTTCCGAACATTAGCGTGGCAGCAAAAACACGTCCAGCGTTCTCACGCTTCTCAGCTGCAGCGTTCAGGCTGACGCAACGCGTCGGTGTTGGATCACCTGCGTGCGCAGATCGCGCAGCGCCTTGCTACGACGCAGGTCGTGCTTGATTTCCGTGGCAAGTTGCTCGCTGTCATCCACCACTTGCTCTGCTAGCTCAACCAGGATGTCATACGGCGGGATATACCGAGTGAACCCTCTTGCACGCCACGCGAACTGCTTGCGGATGCCGCCCTCAACTGTCCACGTCGAGAGGCGCGCCGTTGCATTGGTGGACCACGCACGCAGACCCGTCGCTGCGAGCACGTGCAGCAGCTGCTCAATCACGGGTTTCTTCCAATGGGTGCACGAGCAAAAGTATCCGTTGGACGTCTGGCTATCCCACCGTTGCTCTCGTCGACTTGGACGCCTGTCCGTCCAGAGATTCCGTACTTTGGTGCGGCTGTGGTGGAATTCCAACCGGCCTCATATTCGCGCCATGCCTCGACATCGTCTTGGCCGCGGCTTGGCGCCGCATCCTCGGTGCCTTGTCCGACCTCGGCGTGTTCAGCACGGTGCACGTGGATGAGGATACGTTCCGGACGGTGTGCGTCCAGGCACTGCACTCCCGCCAAATCCCGGTGCCCGAGCTCCTTTTGCAGTGAACCTGTACGGCATCCACCTCGCGCGCCTCGTCGGCCTCTCCCCCCGCAGACCGTCCTCAGTGGGGAGCGGCGAGGGCCCCGCTGGAGCCCGTGGCGGGAGGACCTCGTCGTCGCACCGGCGGCCGCTCGGCCTGAGCTGTGACCCTTGGGACCAGCCCCCGAGTGGATCAATGGACGCCCCCATGCGGTGGTCGCCGTCCTTGTCAGCCGTCCTGAGCGGAGGCAAGGTTTGTTCGATCCAGGACCTCTTCCCCCGCAGGCCGTCCTCAGTGGGGAGAGGTGGGGCCCTTCCTCCCGCAGATCGTCCTCAGCGAGGAGGGGCGATCCCATCAGGAGGTCGTTCCGTGCGACTCGGCTCCCCCCGCAGACCGTCCTCAGTGGGGAGCCCTCCTTTTCCTGGGCGCACATGGGGGTGGTGGCGACGATACTCCAAACCGGCGAAGGCATGGGCAGCTCGAGGAGGCGACCGCTGGCCCTCTCCTGTCGGACTGATGGCCCGAAACAACACTACCAAGACTTTGTCGAGCTCAACGTCTCTACCTGTGGCGCGGACCCACGCAACTGCGGGGGTGTTAATCGCTGTCGCCAAACAGCCAGGCGGAGGGCAACCTCGTTAGGAGGCTAGAGATCTCACTTCCACCGAAGGGAGGATCGCCCTGCCACAGTTACGCGAGCGACGCCAGCTTGCAAGACGTTCAATTCGAGCATTCGGGCCGCGCGACCTATGGAGACCCAGTCAGAGGCAAGCGCGGGCGCTGCCCAAGCGGATCGCCGGCAACTAGCCCCGTTCCTACGCGCCAGCATCTAGGCTGTCGAGATTGTCGCCCTCCTCCTCCCCCGACAGGTTGAATTTCCGCATCACGTCGCGCAGCGCCATGCGGTTCCCCCTTCGCACGCCCGCCGTGAAGCCGATGCACCAGCAGAACGCGCCAACGGCGGCCAGAACGATGGCAGAGACCGCAAACGCGAGCACCGACATGGTGAGAATGGAGAGCGTGGGGCACCTTTCCTCCCCGAGCGCCGCCACGTCCCCCGGGCACGCGTCTGCGCCTCCGGCGCACCCACCGCCGCAGCACTTCAGGTAGTCTGCGCCGTCGAGGCACCACCCGTCCGCGGCCTCCCGGCCCCATCGTGCCGCCCGGACACACCGCTCCGGTCGGGCAAGGCGTGCAGGGCGCGCTGTCGTTGCGGCGGCTGAAACCCTCGAGGCACAAGCACTGCAGCCCGTCTGCGGCGCCCGAGCCGGCTGCCCGGCTATAGTCCGGGCACGGCGTGCACGCGGCTGACCCAGGTTCGTCCGAGTAGCTCCGTTCGTCGCACAGGCTGCAGGCGAGCGCTCCGGCGGGCGCGAAGCTCCCAGCAGAGCACGCCTGGCAAGCTTGCATCAGCTCCACCCACTGGTAGCCGGCGGCGCAGACGGTCGAGAAGGAGGCGCGGAAGCCGTACCCCTCGCCGGTGCCCGCGCCGGCCGAGTAGCTCAGCTCGAGCGAGCCGCGCGTGCTCGTAGTACTCCGGGGGAGGGCGCTGCCGACGAGGCCCTGGGCGACCCGTTCCGCTGGCACTTGCGCGCAGAGTGACGTGGGGGCGGTCGGGGCGCTGCTCGAGGGGCTGCTGAGCTCGCCGCGGCATCGCGCGGCGGAAGCCGCCAGATCGGTCGCCCTGCCGGGGATGGTGGAAGCCGCACAGACCGCGAGCAGACAGCGCCTGCTGGCCATTTCGAGACATTCGCCAAGAACGCTAGCTACATGGGAGGGCTTCGTGAAGGATGGATTGAAGAACATTCGAACAAAGAAGAGGCGACGGGAGGAACCGGCGGAGGATGCAGTGACGTGAGACACACACACACACACACACACACACACACACACACACACACACACACACACACACACACACACACACACACACACACACACACACACACACACACACACACACACACACACACACACACACACACACCGCTCACCCACGCGCACTGGGCCTTGCACTTTGAATGCCGTGGGGCTCCTGTCGTCAGACGTGGAGACGCGAGGGTTGCCCCCCCTTGCCCCACCACCTCGTGTGTGTGGAGAAGTTTACCTAGCTTACCTTACCTTACCTGGTGGAAGCTCGTACGGCTTTAGGGAGGGCGCGCCAGTTACTGGAAACTAGACGAAAGAAGTGATCTGAGCCTACGTTATAGGGTAGCCTTAGGGGTCTCGTAGCACGTACTAGATTCGGTTTGGTACTGCCGGACAGGTATATCCGTCTTCGTCAGGCTATATCGTATGTGGAATCCTGATTCTGCTCCACGGGGGAGAGAACAAAGAACCTTGCAATGAGACGCAAGCGCGCGATCCGTCGAGCTCGGACCGTCGACAACGCTTCGGAACGCGGGCCCTCTGCCGTTAGTCCTTCGCGACGCGGAGCGCGCGCATCGCGCCCTTGAGCTCCGCCACCTGGTCGAGCG